GTCTATTTTTGTGCCAATACCAGGCTGTTTTAGAACTATAGCTCTGTAGTAGAGCTTAAAATCAGGACTGGTGATGCCTCCTGAAGTTCTTTTATTGTATAGGCTTGTTTTGGCTATCCTGGGTCTTTTGTTTTTCCATATAAAGTTGATTATTATCCTTTCAAGGTCAGTGAAGAAGTGGTGGGATTTTAATGGGGATTGCATTGAATCTGTAGATTGCTTTTGGCAAGATTGCCATTTTTACTATGCTTATCCTACCTATCCAAGAGCATGAGAGATCTTTCCATTTTCTAGTATCTTCTTTAATTCCTTTCTTTAAAGATGCAGAATTCTTGCTGTATAGGCCTTTCACTTGTTTGGTAAGCATTACACCAAGATACTTTATGTGCTTGTGGCTATTGTAAAGGGTGATGTTTCTCTGATTTCTTTCTCTGCCCCTTTGTCATCTGAATAAAGTAGGGCTACTGATATTTTTTAGTTTATCTTGTATCCTGCTAGTTTGCTGAAGCTGTTTATCAGCTGTAGGAGTTCCCTGGTAGAGTTTAATGGGTCACTTATGTAAACTATCATATCATCTGCAAATAGAGACAGTTTGAATTCTTCCTTTCCAATTTGGATCCCCTTGATCTCCTTTTGTTGTCTTATTGCTCTAGCTAGAACTTCAAGTACAAATATTGAAGAGATATGGAGAGAGAGGACAGCCTCTCTGTTTCTATCTTGTGGAACAGTTTGAGGAGTAGTGGTATTAGTTCTTCCTTGAATGTCTGGTAGAATTCTGCGCTGAATCCATCTGGCCGTGGACTTTTTTTTGGTTGATAGGCTTTCGACAACTGCTTCTATTTCATTGCGGGCTATAGGTCTATTTAAGTTGTTTGTCTGCTCTTGATTTAATTTTGGTAAGTGATAGTTATCCAGAAACTTGTCCATTTCCTTTGAAAATTGTCTGGATTTTCTCTGTGTCCGTTGTTATGTTCCCCTTTTCGTTTCTGATTTTGTTAATTTGCATGTCCGCTCTCTGCTTTTTCGTTAGTTTGGATAAAGGTTTGTCTATCTTGTTGATTTTCTCAAAAAACCAACTCTTCATTGCATTGATTTTTTTTTTTGTATTGTTTTCCCTGTTTCTATATTGTTGATTTCAGCCCTCAAGTTGATTATTTCCTGGCATCTACTCCTACAGGGTGAGTTCGTTTCTCTCTCTTCTAAGGTTTTCAGTTGAGCTGTTAATTCTCTCATGTGACTATCCTCAGTTTTCTTCATATGGGCACTTAGTGCAATGAACTTCCCTCGTAGCACTGCTTTCAAGGTGTCACATAAGTTCGGGTATGTTGTGTCCTCATTCTCATTGAATATTAGAAAGTCCATAATTTCTTTATTTCTTCTTTGACCCAAGTGTGGTGCAATTGCACATTGTTCAGTTTCCATGAGTTTGCAGGTTTTCTATATGTGTTGTTGTTGAATTCCAATTTTAAAGCATGGTGGTCTGATAAGGTACAGGGTACTATTCCTATTCTCTAGTATCTGCTGAGGTGTGTTATGCCACCTAGTATGTGGTTGATTTCAGAGAAGGATCCATGTAGAGCAGAGAAGAAGGTATATTCTTTTGTGTTTGGATGGAATGTTCTATAGATGTCTGTTAACCCCAGTTGAGACATAACTTCTGTGAGTTCCTTTATTTCTTTGTTGAGTTTCTAATTTGTCGTCCTGTCTAGTGTTGAGAAAGGTGTATTGAGGTCTCTCATTATAAGTGTGTGAGGTTTTATATGAACTTTGAGTTTTAGTAGTGTTTCTTTTACGAATGTGGGTGCCTTTGTATTAGGGGCATAGATGTTCATAACTGAGACTTTGTGTTGATGGATATCTCCTGTGATGAATACGAAATGACCTTCTTCATCTCTTTTTATTAGTTTTGGTTTGAAGTCTAACTTGTTGATATTAGGATAGCCACACCTGCTTGCTTCTTGGTTCCATTTGATTGGAAAATCTTTTCCCAACCCTTTACCCTGAGGAAATGTCTATCTTTGAAGCTTAGATGTGTTTCTTGTATGCAGCAGAAGGATGGATTCTGTCTTCATATTCATTCTGTTAGCCTGTGTCTTTTTATAGGTGAGTTAACACCATCAATGTTGAGGGTGAGTAAGGACAATTGATTGTTGATGCTTGTTTATTTCAGGTTTGTTGTTGTCAGTGGTATTGTGAATATATTTGTTCTGCTTTACCCTTGGTTTCTGGTGTAGTTGGATTATCTGTTGCCTACATTTTTGTGGGCGTAGTTACCTTCCTTGGGTTGGAGTTTTCCTTCCAAAACTTTCTGTAGGGCTGGATTTGTAGATTCGTATTGGGAAAATCTGGTTTTGTTGTTAAATATCTTGTTTTCTCCATCTATAGTGATTGAGAGTTTTGCTGGATATAGTAGCCTAGGCTGTCATCCGTGTTCTCTTAATACTTGTAGAACATCTATCCAGGACCTTCTGGCCTTGAGGGTTTCCATGGAGAAGTCAGGTGTAATTTTGATAGGTCTGCCTTTATATGTTTCCTGTCCTTTTTCCTTCACTGCTCTTAATATTCTTTCTTTATTCTGTATGCTAGCTGTTTTGATTATATGTTGAGGGGTCTTTTTTCTTTGGTCCAGTCTATTTGGGGTCCGGTATGCTTCTTGTACTTCCATGGGCATGTCCTTCTTCAGATTTGGAAAGTTTTCCTCGAAGATTTTGTTGAATATGTTTTCGGCATTTTTGAGCTGGGCTTCCTCACCTTCCTCTATGCCTATTATTCTTAGGTTTGGCCTTTTCATGGTGTCCCACATTTTCTGGATGTTTTGTGTTAAGGATTTGTTGGATTTATGATTTTCTTTGGTCAATGAATCTATTTCTTCTAGTTTATCTTTTGCATCTGAGATTCTCTGTTCGATCTCTTGAATTCTGTTGGTTATGCTTGCATCTGTAGTTCCAGATTTTTTGCCCAGTTTTTCTATATCCAGCATTCCTTCGGTTTGTGTTGCCTTTATTTTCTCTATTTCAGTTTTCAAGTCTTGAACCATTTCCTTCACCTGCTTAATTGTTTCTTCTTGGCTTTTTGTACTTTCTTTACTTTCCTTAAGGAATTTGTTCATTCCTTCCACTTTTTTGTTTGTTTTTTCCTCCATTTCTGTAAGGGATTTTCTCACATCTTCTTTGAGGGCCTCTATCATTTTTATGACGGTAATTTTTAAGTTGTTCCCTTCTGCTTCCTCTGCTTTGTTGCTGTGTTCCATTCTAATTGGTGCAGATTCCCTAGATTCTGATGGTGTCATGCTTGTCTTTCTGTTGTTAGGTGTTTTCTTGTATTGCCGTCTTCCCATAGCTTCTTCCAGTAGGTGTTTGGGGGGGGGGGTCTCCACCTCTCTCTATGGTACTTCCCCGGTGGGTCAAAGATTCAATATTTGTAGCTCTGGGTGGTCCAAGCTCTATAGGAGTTCTCTCCACAGACAGGGACCCAGGGATGGGGACAGGGATGAGGATCCAGTAGAAGATGCCTCTAGCCAATGGCTGGCGGAAAAGGACAGAGGCTGAGCTGATACGTGGTTCTTCATGATAGTCGGATCTCACTGGAAACTGTCACTCTCCAGCTGAGGCCTCTTTCTTTAGCAGAGGCCCTACTTTGGGGGTCAAGGATCTTGCAGGCAGGAACTCAGAATGGACCTGCATAGATAGGCGGATCTCTGGGAGGGGCCTGGCACTCCTCAGAGGACTGGAGGTAGGGTCAGAGACCAAGCAGGTGGAAATTACTGGTGGTCCCACGTGGATAGGTAGGTCGTCTTGTTCAGAGTTGCTCCGAGAAGTCTCCGAAGTAGGGTGGACTGTTGGCTCCACCCTCTGTCCTTGTATGTATGTTTTCAAGGGTGACCATTTGTAATTAAATAAGCAACTAGTATACTGGGGAAGACTTTCTCTGTGGGAATTTTTTTTAAATTACTGATTTAACATCAGTCACATGAATGTTCAATTTTTCTATTTTTTTTATTTGTTTTATGTGCATTGGTGTTTTGTCTTTATGTAGGTCTGTGTGAGGATGTTGCATTCCCTGGGACTGTTATAGACTGTTGGAAGCTGCCACATGGGTACTAGGAATTGAACTAGGGACCTATGGAAGAACAGCCAGGGCTCTTAACCACTGAGTCATCTCTCCAATTCTGACCCCCCTCCCAAGTTTTCTATTTCTTACTGAGTCTATTTTGGAAAATTAGTTCATTCATATTTTCAAAATTTTTATATCATGATCTTCAAAGAACTCTTAATATCATTTAAACTCTAACTGGAAGATTACATTACTTTTTGTTGATAATTTTTGGCTTTGCATTTTCACTGTTTCAAACCCTAATTCAGATACTCGACAGTTTTCTTTCTATTTCCTTTCTAACCTCTCACTTTTCCAACTTACCTTGTTTGCTTCTGTCCCACAGATATCAGCCAGAGTTTTAAACATAGATTGTGATAGGCATTCTCTCTATTTCTGCACCTGTCCCGGTACAAAATGCTGAGGAGTAACTGGTTCTTCTGAACTTGACTTGCCTCCAATAAAGCCACACTGCCCTTAATTAATGGCTTGTATCCACAGCCATTAGCTGGGTTAGAGAGTTGGACAGCAGTGGCTGCCAAGGGCAACAAGAAAATTCCACTAGAAATTGATGTCCAGCCTGTCAACTAGAGCTTCTCATATTCTCTAAGGATCTTTTTCTTCTTTGGCTATTCTCGTGTGTTTTATGTTAGTGCTTTGGAGTTGTAGATCTCGCTGTAAGCGTGGCTATCTAGACTTGGTTCTGTGAACAAAGAGTCAACAGGCCATGCTAACTTGCCATGTTTTAAGACATTTAAGTTTTTAAAGTAGAATTATTATAATTCTGTCCTTACTACTAAGTATTTTAGAGTGTACTCATCAGGGCTTACAAAACGGAAGTGTTCATTTTAAGAGCCAGGCTGGAATATGCCATTTCACTTGCTCCCTTCTACCTTTGGTCTTCCCAGTTCTGACAGCATCAGCAGCGATGAGGAAGAGCTCCGCACTTTCGGAAGCAGCGACAGTGAAAGCAGCACCCCAGAGAACGCAGGGCCACCCCTCATCATGGATGAGAGCAGCTGGTTCAACAAGTGCAAGAGAGTAAGACAAAAATACCAGCTCACCCTGGAGCAGAAGGTACTTGTCGGTCATTCAAAGTCACTTCCTTTGCCTCTGTGTGCTACCCTTCAACTGTCACTAACTCAAAGTGGTATGCCCGTTGCTCTTTCCACTCTATCTCCGAGTTGAAATCTTATTTAAAATCAAGAGAGGTACACGGTAGAGTTACCCAACAGGGACTCCTCACAAGACACAAAACAACTGAGAAGGCTAGACACAAGCCAGTAGTCTCAGCATTTAGGAGAAGACAGAAGGATAAGAATGGGGGGCTAGCCTAGGCTATATAACAAGACCCTATCGTAAATAAAACCAAGGGCTGAGTAAGAGCAACTTAATGGTAGAATGTTACATTATATGCACAAATCAGTGGATTCAATCCCAGCATCATGAAACAACCTTTGGCGAGTGAGCAAGAAGCTGCTCAAAGATGTGACTGTAAGAAAGTTCCGCATCATACACACCACTTGGAGAAATCCATGTGCTTTTAGTGGATCAGTTTACCAGCCTTGACTGCATAAGAGCTTGCAGGTGGAAGAGGAAGAGACCCGGTGAGCACTGCTGGGTACCAGCTCTGTGCAGAGGTACAGTGGGAGCACAGTGACCCAAACTGAAGAGGGTGACTTGGCACTAGAGAATTGTTATACACTTTCCCGCTTATGTTTGGGAAGTTATTTTTAAAAAGTCTTGTCTGAGCTCACTGCTCCAAGAAGCAAAGTGCCTTGTACCCTGTTTCCAGGTACTGCTAAAACACATGATTACACTGACTAAGTTGGAGCTTGGTCCTCTGGGATATTCTGTGTACAGTTTCCCTTTAAGACTGTCAGGAGATTCTGCTCAAGAGATCAGTAGAAACACTAGAGCCCTGGGCATTAGCAGGGACTGGCAGGGTCCATGCTTCCCCAACCCTGTTGTTAACTTACAACCTCATGTCATCTCAGCCCTCTTGAGTGGCCACCACAGATAGTGCTAGGGAACCTAATGTACTATAGTATCCTCTGCACCCTTCCCCCTTCACCCCATGGGGCATACAGAACAAGGGTTCACAAAACAAGCCTGCAGGGGCTATGTGCTAGCTCTCCATCTTACTCTAGACAGTGGTCTTCAACCTCCCCAATGCTGAGACTCTTTAATATAGTTCCTTATGTTGTGGTGACCCCCCAGCCATACAATTATTTTTATTACAACTTCATAACTGTGATTCTGCTAGTTATGGATCATTGTGTAAATATTTATTTTCTGATGGTCTTTGTTGATGCTTGTGAAAGGGCCATTCAGGCCCCTAAGGAGTTGTGGCCCACAGTTTGAGAACCACTGTTCTAGCGCAAATACTGGTGCTTCTGGCCATGGAAAAAAAGAATGAAAAGGTACAGCATTTGCTCTCCTGGAGGGGAACCATACTAAGAAATATGGAAGGAAACTGATCACTGATCACAGCATGCATCTGTACCTGTCTACACAAATGTGATTGCTTCAATAGAGAGGAAATTCTCATTTTTATTTCAAAATTCCATTGTTTTATTTGTGTGTGTGTGTGTGTGTGTGTGTGTGTGTGTGTGTATGCATGCACATGCACACACACACATAGATGTAAGTGCCACAGCATGCATGTGGAGTTCAAAGGACAGCTTTGGGGAGTAGGTTTTCTTCTTCCACGGATCTCAGGGATTGAACATAAGTGAGCCAGGCTTGAGCAGCAAGCACTTTTACCTGCTGATCCATCCCTGTGACGTTTTTTTATTTGATTTACCTATATTTGTTGTTGCTGTTTGCTGTTGTGTAGTTCTGAGGATCAAGCCTAACATTTTGAGCAAATGTGCTTGAATCTCTGTTGCGAAACTGTGTATTCCAGCTCACACATTAATGTGTCCATGACTCTGTGCTGATTAAACCTCGGTAGATACTTAAAGAACAGAGGATAGAATTCCCCAGCTGATAACCTAGCTGCAGGTAGGCATGACTTAGCTTAAGAATGCCGACATACCCGCATATCAACAGAAGAGAGAAAATGTAGACACTGTACTTTAAAGACCTCTCCATAGGTTTTTTTTCCATACCCTGTGTCAATCTGTTCCTTGCTAACAAATCTAGAAAAGTACACAGAAAGTTTGTCCCATATGGCAGATAGAAACTGTCTACATCACATCATAGAAAATCTGCTCTTCTGAGACCTATAAAAAAGGCAGGGCATTCAGACACCAAATTAGCATACATTGTATAAAACTCTCATTAACAAGCAAAGGAGCTACAGGGAAGCTGTACATTATAAAATAAATCTACATCCAAGGTCACATTACCAAGAGAAACTGCTTACTATGAAAACTCCCTCATAAAAGCTATGTTAATTCATTGCTGTGTCAAAATTCCTAACAAGAGAGAAATAATTTAAAGGAAAAATGTTTTCTTTGGTTTCTGGGTTAAGAATTTTTGGTCCATGTTTTGTCCATTGCTTCCAGAGTGATGGTAAATCGGAACATCATTATTTCATGAGCCTGTAGTGGACAAGGCTGCTCACCTTGTGATGGTAAGGAAACCAAGAGTTAAAAGGAACAAGGGCAATGTGAAACTCAGGGAAGCATACATCTGCCCTCTTTTCTCAACCAGGCCCTACCTCAGTCAATTCTCAAAGGCTCAAGTAGTCTGTGAAACTAAGTGGATTATTCATTGATGAGGTTTGAGTTCTCATAATCTAAAATTCTCTGAGCAGGGCTGTACTGGGGATATTTCTTCAATGAATGAGGCTTTGGAAGACATTCTATACTAAAACTATAATAAAAGTGGAAAAATACCCATCTCAACAAATGCTTATGCACAAAAGTCAACAAATAGGAGAGATTAGTGCAAAAAAGGTGTGATTCCTTAAAAAGTTTATAATTCTCTTGTAATTGATTTCAAAGTTATCAAAATGAAAGATAATGCCAGAGAATCTTTAAAAAGAATGCTTTTTTAGAGTACTTAATAAACAGTCACAGTATGAAGGCGTGGGGATCAGGATTCACTAGACAGTGTAAATGAAGTGGAGTTGATTAGAGGAAAAGAACTTACACAGAAAACAAGTGACTTTCACAGTGTTCCACTTATGCTCTCCACATGCCAAAGGGCCTCCCAAGTCTTGATCCATTTTCCTTAACCCGTCATGTCCACACCTGTAACCACACCCAATAGGCATGGTCAGTGTTATTGGTGCGGATTCCCCTTTTAGTCTATTGCTACAATTCCCCTTTTAGTCTCAAGAAGGTTTAGGCTTGATACAAAACTATATACAATGATAGCAAATATTAAGTATACTCTAGGAGAAGGAACTGTAAAAATATACACAATTTAAGACCTACTGCCAGTAAAGCAACATAGAGCAATTGGCAAGAACTACATGTGCAGTCCTACAGTAAAGGCATGACAGAGATTACTATGAAACTGTCCTAAGCTGGAAAGTTTAAGTCTTGTACCTAATATTTCTCTCTAAGAAGAAAGGACAATAACTGTGACAGTCTAATTTTCAACTTCATCAAAGACCTGAGAAGAAAGATAACAATACTAGGGTAGGCAGGAAGTGCAGGCGAGCTACTTTCAAAAGGTGCAGAGAAGACAGAAACAGCAGATTACCTGGACAGTCACCTTAAGTCTCACAACAGTGTAGGGGCAACCAGCTTTGGCTATGGCTGACTGACCAACACAGATATAGCCACCATGTGGCTAGAGTGCATCAGGCAACTCTGGTAAGATAAGAGCATGTGAAAATACTTAGATTAAAAGAGACGGGTTAATAATCAAGACAGAGCTAGCCAATAAGAAGCTCTAGCCAGTGGCCAGCAGTATTATAATTAATATAAGTCTCTGAGTGTTCGTTTGGGGCTGATGTGTTGGTTGTGGGGCCAGACTGATGGTAAAGATATTCCATAACAATAGTATGACATGTATATAATCCCAATGCTCAGGAGACTGAGGCAGGAACATCATTATGGATTTGAGACTACCCTGGGCTACATAGTGAAATTCCAGGCTAGTGTAGCCTACATGGTAAGACTCTTGTCTCAAACATGAATAGCTGTTCTAAAAAAGAACCAAATAGATTTCTGGAACTGAAAATCTTGATAAGAGTCTTTAAAATGAAGTTGGAAGCCCCTCCCCTAGCGTGGATCAAGAAAAAAAGAGGATATCCAGGCTTAACACATACATATGCATGTTTGTGACATTTCTTTAGCCATTCTTGTTACATATACATAGTATGCAGTCTACTGATACTGTCTTTTAAAAGAACAATTCCCGATAATATATAATGCTGAGTTCACAAACATCTAATAATATATCAATAAAAATACTAACCCAAAATTAACAGAATATCCAAAAGCAATAGCCAAATTCAAAATTACCATTATTTTAATCTTTCACAGTAATTATGGTTTGAGTAAAGAAAATATTAATAAGGATGTAGTGAACTTTAACAAAACAATAAACTTGATCTAAAATAATAAATTCTAATGTATAGAATATTATTATAAACTAATTTAATTTACCCTATCAGGCACAAATGGAATGCCTATATAACTTTCAGTAATCATGTTAGGGTGCAACACTGATATTCTAAATTCAAAGATATAATAGTGATTACAGTATCACAGTGCAATAAAGGCAGACAGCAGTTCTTAGTTATTTTCTTGTTGCTGTTATAAAATGCCCTGACAAGAGCAACTCAAGGAAGGAAAGAGTTACTTTGTTTTGGAGGATCTGGGCATGCAGTCCATCACGATGAGGCAGACATGGCAGAGATGGGAGAGGCCTGTTGAGAAGACCATGGAGCCATTCAAATTGCATCCACTCAGAACAGAGAGTTAACAGAAGTGGGGTCAGACTTTAAAACCTCAAGTCCTGCTCCCAGTCACCACCTTCGGATGTTCAAACACGTAAGCCTCTGGGGAGGCAGTACATTCAAACTACAACAGCACACAAAGTTCTTTGTCACCCACTTACTCAGGTTTAAAAACAAAAACAAACAAAACCTTCTTAAGTATAGGGTGAAAGAA